ATGTACATATCGTCTGTGATACTGCAAAAAGTACTATTGTAAACGTTCTATAAATTAATGGTAAAAAAAACCTGTGATTAAAGATACATGAATGTGCGTATTTAAGAAATATACCTGCTTGGTCATTTTCCGATGTGAGTTCGGAATCGGACTCATTCAAATTGCTGGTGTCCCCGCTTGTATCCACCTGGTTACTTTCCCAGAGGAATACCGGATTCAATGAGGCCTTTTCCCCCAATATTCCATCCAGTTCGCTAATAAATAATAAAAACAATTTTAAAATTTAGTGCAACGAAAATAACTATAAACCATTTCAAACCTCTGATAAGGACAACTTTATCGACTTCTCCCGGTCTGCGCGTTATTTAAAATTACTTTTTTGTATGTTCGTTCAAGGCTTCGAAATTTATTTTCTATTTGTACTGCCGTTAAATTGTAGCCTTGCTCTCTCATGCTGTCCTCAATTGCTTTCCACATCTTCGTTTTATTGCGGAATGTCGCAGATTTCCCAACTTTGGGACGAATTTCCTCTATCACATGTTTCAAATGTTCGCCTTTTCTTATGGGAATATAGTCATCCTCCGAAAATTTAAAATTAAAATTTCATGGAGTTTGTTAATAACATTACTTGCCAGTTGCAGAAGTCGTCAACTGTATGGAGTGCGTGTCATCCACAGGCGTGATTTTGTCAGAGTCAACCTGCATTCCATTTTATATAATTGCAAGTTAAAACAATATTAACTTATAGTTTATTAAATGTACGGAAATTTTATGAAAGTAGGTATACCTTAATTGTTTGCTACTTACCCACTTGGGAAAAGACCACCTCGCCGAAGGAGCAGCCCTGCGATTCCAGCACACCGTCTGCAACTTTTCGCATAAATTCGGGATCTGAAAAATATCAACACACGTATGTATGTAGTAATAAATGGCAATTATCATAATTTAACTTACCTTTTTGAATTCTATTATATGTTTGTGGCGAACAAGCACCTTGAATTTGATTTTCCTCCATTTTTTATGTTTGGCGCTTGTATTCCTTTTGTGCCGGCGTAATTTTTGACAAATAGTTTCTAGAGGTGGAGAAAAATCGATGGTAACATCGATACATCGATGTTTTTATGTAAGTTTCTAACATCGATGTTTGTTTCTCAACATTTTCAGTCTCTTAAGCCTTTTTGCTACAATTTTATTAATTGTAGTAATTTAAAACATAAATTATTGAATTGCGGAGGTGTTAGAGACTTGGAGTGTTGAAGTACAGGAAGATATAATGAATAAATGTTCGCAAAGTAACGGTGTTTGTTTTATGTATAGATTTCATGAGTGCGATATATGTATAAACATAAATTTTAGTGACTTTTGGTAAAAACCCAAAAAAACATGTGGAAAATGCAAAAATGTTCTATTTGTTATGAAAAACATATGTACACTGGCGATCAAAAGTGAGTACATTGTGTTTTTTCTTAAATATTAGCAATGTTTACAAGTTAAAATTTTTGGACTTTTTACCATATAAAAGGAAATTTATTATAGAATAAAATGCGCAAGACCGTTTGCAAACAAAATTAAAAAAATTAACGCTATAGTTTATAAATTGCACTTGTTATATGCATAATATTGCAAAATCCGTCACTTGAAAAACGGTGCAAATATTAAACAAAAAACACCTTGCACTCACTTCTGATTACCAGTGCATATAGTGAATGGCAGAAATAACTCAAAAAGTCCTACGCAGAAGAATTACATGCAAAAATACTGTAAACAGCGTAGTCGGAGTTCGAGGTATGACGGCGCAAACCCGATTTATTATCAATTTTTAAAGGACTTTTTGTGAAAACGTACTTTAAATATATGAAATAAAATTCTAAACTGTATATTGTTATGAATATTTTTTAATTAATCCAATTTATTCCCAAACGAAAATTTAGAAAGGAGAAATGCTTTGGGGAAGTTAATATCTAGCCTGATTTTCAAAGTTTCAAAAAATATCGACATTTCATCGACGTTTATCTTTCAATCGATGTTTCTCCAGCTCTAATAGTTTGACATTTAAATCGTTGCAGGAAAAGTGGTTTTTCGCGTTCCAGATGACTTTTACTGTTTCGCTCTCGCTCCTCTCTTTCCAGAGAGTAATTTGTTATTTGACCGTTTTACAGGTTTTTACACGAAGTTACCTGGAACGCAACTATTGTTGTGTCCAGGTTGCTGTTTGGCATTGTTGTTTAGGAAATTTGTTTGTATGTATTATACTCTATGTATGTTTATTTATTAAAATATTATAAAGTATTAATGCTTCAACCAAAACCATATAAATCAAAATTATAAAAAATGTTCATCAAAATTTCAAGCTTTTTAATATAAATCTTTAGAACTTTTTTGCGTATTTTTTGAAACTTGAACTCTTGAACACTTGTATGACTCACTGTATCTAACTTATTATATGTAGTTACTTAATTATCCAAAATA